CCCCATACCCAGGAGGAATGACCACCGCACCAAGAGGCCGGGAAGACTCTTTAATAGATGGGCTTTGCTGAGTTACCTGCTCGTTCTACTGGTATCACATCAGACCCTTTTGTCCAACACCTTTCTCCACGGTCGTCTGTGCTTCAGTCTGTGCTATGCAATGAGGTCTCCATTCAAACCCAAAAGTCCAGGGTTCAGAGAGCTTCCAGATGGCTGGACACATGCAGGTCCTCCCACCCTCGCCCCACACATCTCTTCCTGGGTATTCTGTAAATTCCTGGGTATTCTGTAAATTCTTCATGGTAAACCAGTCAGTGGGACTGTGTCCCTGGGTTTTGCTAGCTACTCAACCCAATCAATCAAACTTGAGGAGGCACTGTGGAAACCCTGAGTTGTTGCCCACCGGCCCTGCAGAGGCCACGGGTAAAGCAACATGGGACAAGCTGGCATGGGGAGGGGGCAGTGCCCTCACCTTGTGGGATCTGATTCCCCCTCCAGAACTGGATTAGGGGACAACCATCTGGTGTCCACAGCTGAACTGGTTAATTGCTTGCTGGTGAGAAGATACAGATATCACAAGTTTTGGGTCTGTGTTGCTTATGGCATAAGAGTACTAAGTAAGGGTGCTGATCAGGTTAGCATTAATGAAGTGCAGCCTACAGCTAGGTATTGCTCATAGCAAACTTGCCTTACAGGCACCAAAGCCTCATTACAACAGTTTTTTCACATAAAACTCAAGAACTAACAATTTTTTAAAAAGTTTGCTCAGGGGCCAGCGCTGTGGCATAGCAGGTAAAGCTGCTGCCTGCATTGCCAGCATCCCATATGGGTGCCAGTTCAAGTCCCAGCTGCTCCATTTCTGATCCGGCTCTCTGCTATGGCCTGGGAAAGCAGTGGAGGATGACCCAAGTCCTTGGGCCCCTGCACTCGCAGAGGAGACCTGGCAGAAGCTCCTGGCTCCTGGCTTCGGATCGGCCCAGCTCAGGCTGTTGCCTCCATCTGGGGAGTGAACCAATGGATGGAAGACCTCTCTCTCTCTCTCTCTTTGCCTCAGCCTCTCAGTAATTCTGCCTTTCAAATAAAATAAATAAATCTTTTAAAGTTTGCTCAAATCAGAACCATTTTACTGAGTTTTGTACATAGACATAACAGAAAAATAATTGATATGAAGAAAATATTTTAGGTAAATGCTATTTATTTATTTTTTAAAAGATTTATTTATTTGAAAGTCAGAGTTACACAGAGAGAGAAAGAGAGGCAGAGAGAGAGAGAGAAGTCTTCCATCCACTGGTTCACTCCCCAATTGGCCGCAATGGCAGGAGCTAGGCTGATCCAGAGCCAGGAGTTTTTTCTGGGTCTCCCACGCCAGGTGCAAGGGCCTAAGGTCTCGGGCCATCTTGTACTACTTTTCCAGGCCATAGCCAAGAGCTAGATTGGAAGTGGAGCAGCTGGGACTTGAACTGGTGCCCAAATGGGATGCTGACACTGTAGGCGGCAGCTTTACACACTATACCACAGAGCTGGCTATGGTAATATGCTATTTAAATGCTATTTAAACAAGAGTGTGCAAAATGAATGTCTTAAAATACAATTTTAAGAAAACTTTTTAAAAATCATTTTCATTTCATTTGAATGGCAGAGAGACAGATGGAGCGAAGATCTTCCATCCAACTGACTCACTCTCCAAATATTCGAACAAACAGGGCAGAGCCAGGCCTAAAGCCAGGAGCCAGAACTCCATCCAGTTCTCCCTCATGGGTAGCAAGGACTTTGGCCATCATCTGCTGCTTCCCAGCTGGATAGATAGCAGAGTAGCCAGGACTCAAGCCAGGCTTATGTGGCCGTCCCAAGTAGTGACTTAATCGATGCACCAAGAGTTAGCCCCACGCAAACTGGCTTTGATCTGGAGTCAAACAGTAGAGAGGTATGCATTGGCTGAGGGGCCTGTTGCCAGGGAACTGGCACGGCCACCCCTCCCACCCAGGTTCCTATGGTTCCTGATCCCTGTGGACAGAGTTCCTTTCCTCTCCTCTTTTCCTGTGGGCCTCCCAATTAGCCACTAGGCTCCTAACTGAGCCACAGCTCCGCAGCACTTCCCAGGCCTGCCCACACGTCAGGAGGCTGAGGGGGTGGGTGTCATTTCCACTGAATCTTAACCCAGTCAAAATGTGTCTGTGACTGCTAGCAAGGTGGGCGTCCCCCCAAAGGCCCAGGTGCTGGGGTTGCTCCCCAAAGGCTTATGTTAATGGTTAGTGGATCTAGGGTGGATCTGATTATGACACCTAGGAAGGGAGCCCAGGAGGTCTTTGGGTCCTTGGGGGTGTCTCCTTGGAAGGCTGTACTCCTGAGAGACCTGGTCATAAAAGCCAAGTTCAGCCCAGCTGTTCCCTCCCTGCTTCCTGGCCCACCACGTGATCCTCCCTCCACATGCGTTCCACCACCCACTGCCCTCATCAGACACCAGGCTCATGGGGAAAAACCAGGCTTGGACTGCGAACCTCCAAACCTGTGATCCAAAAATAAACCTTTCTTCCTAAGTGGTCCTCTCGGGTACTGTTGCTACGGTGATGCAAAGCTGACTGATACACCTTAAAGAAGAAGCTTAATGGGAGCTGACAAGCACACAGTCTCCCAACCCTCATCATTCAAGAACCAAAGCCAAGTCGAGGTGTTCTGTAACCACGAGCAGTGAATCGCCAGTGGTGAGGGATCTGCCTTGGCCATGCCGAAAACATCCAGGAGAGAGAGACAGTTAGCTCTGATCCTTGCTCACAATGATTTTATTTTTTTTTTTTTTAGGTTTTTTGTTTATTTGTTTTTTGAGTAGCACAGAGACAGCTCCTCTCCAATGTTTGTTCACTCTCCCAAATGCCTGCAATGGCCAGGCCTGGGTCAGGCCAAAGCTGAGAGCCTGGAACTCAACCTGGGTCTCCCACATGGGTGCCAGGGACCCAGGTACTTCAGCCATCACCTGCTGCCTCCCAGAGTCTGCATCAGAAGGAAGCTGGAGGGGCTGGCGCTGTGGCGCAGCGGGTTAACACCCTGGCCTGAAGCACCGGCATCCCATATGGCTGTGGTTTGAGACCCGGATGCTCCACTTCTGATCCAGCTCTCTGCTATGGCCTGAGAAAGCAGAAGATGGCCCAAGTCCTTTGACCCCTGCACCCACATGGGACACCCGGAAGAAGCTCCTGGCTCCTGGCTTCAGATCAGTGCAGCTCCAGCCATTGCAGCCAAGTGCGGAGTAAACCATCAGATGGAAGACCTCTTTCTCTCTCTCACTCTGCCTCTCCTCTGTGTAACTCTGACTTGCAAATAAATAAATAAATCTTAAAAAAAAAAAAAAAAAAAGAAGGAAGCTGGAGTGGGGAGCTGGAGCCAGAACCCAAACCCAGGTACCCCAATTTGGGATGCAGGCAGCTTAGCCACTAGGCCAAACGCCCACCTGTTTTAATGTTTAATATGTTCTAGGCCGGCGCCACGGTTCACTAGGCTAATCCTCTGCCTGTGGCGCCGGCACACCCAGTTCTAGTCCCGGTAGGGGCGCCAGATTCTGTCCCAGTTGCCCCTCTTCCAGGCAAGCTCTCTACTGTGGCCAGGGAGTGCAGTGGAGGATGGCCCAGGTGCTTGGGCCCTGCACCCCATGGGAGACCAGGAGAAGCACCTGACTCCTGCCATCGGATCAGTGCAGTGCGCCGGCCGTGGTGGCCATTGGAGGGTGAGCCAATGGCAAAGGAAGACCTTTCTCTCTGTCTCTCTCTCTCTCTCACTGTCCACTCTGCTTGTCAAAAAATAAATAAATAAATAAAATTTTTTTAATGTTTAATGTAATGTTTTAATGAGCACATACATTTGGTTTCTGATGAGATCCAACTTACCAGGTTTTTAACCAATACTGCCTTTTGTGTACTTAATAAATTGTTTATGCTTCTAGTGTTTAAGACCCATGATCCATCTCAAATTAATTTCTGTGTATATTATGAAATACAGGAATAAAACTTCTTGTTGACAAAACTTTCCTGTTACCATAGAAACCATTGGCACCTCGATGGGATATTAACTATATGTTGTGTGGTTCTTTTTCCAGACTGTATATTGTTCCCTTGATCTGTTTGTCTTAATGATGCCAACGGGACAGTAAGTTCCTTGATAAGATAGTACAAGTCCTTCGACTTTTTCCTGCTGCCACATTTCCCCACAAGCAAGCTAGCAACAGCGTTTTGCTTTTGCGGTTATATGCACCAGCCAGGGGGAAATTATTCACCAGCCAGGACAGAAGTTCCCTGGGCTGGGGTACGGACAGAGCAGGATGTCATCCTAGAAGTCTCCCCAGATAACCAGGGGTCAAGAGTTCCTGTACAAGAGGCCTCTGGAAAAAAATTATTTTGAGCAGAAAAGAGGGGTGGTGGTCCTTTCTCCCCCAACAATCACCAAACGCCAGGAGCTGGTGTGGTGAGCATTCTGCCTGACAACACATGCCGGGCCCTGGGAGCGCCACTGGCAGTGGTTGGTGCAGGGTAACTGGGCGCAGTGATCTCAGCCCGGTGTTAAGGCTGGGCCGCCACCACTCTCCCAGGGTCCGAGGGTGCGCTACAGTCACGGGTCGCCTGCCCCGTCGGGAGCAGACCTGAGTACAGGCTCCTTCCCAAAGGGCTCGGGTGCCTCTGCAGTGCAGGCTCGCTAGGGTCAGGGGCCTCGAGGGCCAGGGGCCTAGGCCTTTCCTGGAGTCCACCCGACTTCATCTGGAGATGTGGAGGAAGGACAGGACAATTATATAACATGGTCCTTCCACCACCAAGCAATGCTCTCCGCCCGCCCCTGTGGAGCTACCTGGCCTCCCTCACGGCAAGGAAGGCGGCGGGCGGCCCGGAACTACATTTCCCAGGAGGCTGTGCCACTCACCCGCCGGGCCAGGCCTCCAGGGTGGCTCTGAGGTCCCGGCGCAGTCAAATACAGCCCGACGCCTGCGCGGCGCAAAGGCTCCCGGGAGGTGTAGTTCACGTCTGGCTTGCGCAGGCGCGTTGCCCCGCGGCGGCCAGCGGGCTGCTCTTTGTGGAGGTGTCTGTCCTTTTGTGAAAGGCTGGTCAGCTCTCCCGGCCGTCAGCCCGACCGCGCGCGGGTCGCGGTCGCCGTCCGTCCCGCTTCCTGTGTGTGGCCGAGTTTCCGCGCTCGCTGTCCCTGGGCGGAGGAACCCGAGGCCTGGCCCTTGCGCTGCAGCGCGGCTCGCCCCGAGGAATGTGACGGGGAAGAAGGGGCGTGTGCGCGAGGGGCCGGGGAGCGAGGCCGGGGCGGTGTGACAGGGGGTGACGGCGGACGGGGGAGGCGCGTTTGCCTCAGCCGGGGCGCCGGCAGGAGGCTCCGGGCGTGCGAGGGTGCAGCCGTGAGCGCGTGGCGACCCTGCGAGGCTCCCCTGCGGGCCGCCGAGCCCGAGCCAGCCGCAGAAGCGGGACTCGCTCCTCTAGGGCTGTGCACCCCCTCGGGGGCCGCCGCCCAGGGGCGCCATGGAGACCTCGGCCCTGAAGCCTGAGGAGACAGGTACAGCCTCTGTCAGCCCGTGGGTCTGCAGGTTTGCATTTGAGAGCCGGACGGCTTCCCAGACAAGGCCCCTGCTTTTTCATCGTGTGCAATCGTCTGCTCCACTTTCCCAAGCATGCGCGTGGGAGGGAGGGCACGGCAGTGACCAGAGAGAACAAACGCTGGTGTTGGTCAGACTGTGTCATACGTGGGAGCGCTGGCTGGCTCCCGCCTCCTCCCTGGTTCCTGATGTACCAGAATGGGGTGCACATCAGCACAACAGCCCTCCCTTGACTCCTTTTTTTTTTTTTTTTTTTTCTTCCCCAGCTCTGTGCTCTCAGAACCCTGCCCTTTCCCTCAAAGAGAATCCAGAGGCTGAATTGGGTTGGGGTCTCCTGGAAGCCAGGTCTGAGGTGAGTGGCTGTCCTGTCTTCCTTCTTTACGACACAGTCCTGGATCTTCAGTCAGCCCCAGACCCTCCCCTGGGAACCAGCTGTGGGGTCTTCTGGAAGCTGAGAGCGCCAGGAGCAGCTCTGGTGGGAAAGTTCGGAGGACACTCCCACCCAGGGCGCTGGAGGTGAGCCCTTGTGACCCTCACTTCCGGCCGAGCCAGCACAGGCTCTGGGTCAGCTGCCAGGAGCTACTTGGGCATGTGTGTCACACCTAAAGCATCAGCGTGGCAGATCTCTCAGTATCTCGTCCCCCGTCTCCTGAGCACCCTTGGCCTTTGGCCTTCTCTCCCGGCAGTCTCATTTACTCCTGCCTAGTTCAGGTGGTCTGGTCTCCCGGGACATTGCCAGGGTCTGTGCTGGCTTCTCTTCCGGTTCCGTGCCCACACCACATTGGATTCCCACAGCCCTTGGGCGCTGGGATCCTTTTCCTGGAGAATGAAGACACAGTGGACATGAGCTTCTCCTAGTGGGTTGGAGATACCCCAAGGAGGGCCTGATTCGGGCACAGACCCTGGACTCCTCTTGCTCTCTCTCTCTCTCTCTCTCACACACACACACACACACACACACACACACACACTGGAGCCACGTAACCTCTCACACCCTCCAGCCAGCATCGTATTCCAATGGGCCTGGAGCTTTGATGCCACCTGATTGCTCTTTGCATCGGCCAACGGCGCCACCATCATCCTGTCTGCCTCACTTACACACGTGCTCTCGGCAAGTGGTCCCATCTCCACCTTCTCATGTCGCTGACAAACACTGGTTTCTTGTTTTTTTGTTTTGTTTTCGTTTTTTTTTTTTTTTTTTTTTTTTTTTTTTTTTTTTTTTTTGACAGGCAGAGTGGACAGTGAGAGAGAGAGACAGAGAGAGAAAGGTCTTCCTTTGCCGTTGGTTCACCCTCCAATGGCCGCCGCTGCAGCCGGCGCACCGCGCTGATCCGATGGCAGGAGCCAGGATCCAGGTGCTTTTCCTGGTCTCCCATGGGGTGCAGGGCCCAAGCACCTGGGCCATCCTCCACTGCACTCCCTGGCCATAGCAGAGAGCTGGCCTGGAAGAGGGGCAACCGGGACAGAATCCGGCGCCCCAACCGGGACTAGAACCCGGTGTGCCGGCGCCGCTAGGTGGAGGATTAGCCTATTGAGCCACGGCGCCGGCTTGTTTTGTTTTCTCTTTTTTTTGGGGGGGGGGGTGGGGAACTGGCTTATCGAACTACAATTTATATGCAACATAAATTCTCCAGTCTTTACACGATTTGGTGAGTTTTGACAAACGCACACAGTTGTGTAAGCAGCGCCATAACCATGATTGATAGAACATTGCCCTTCCCTGGAAAGTTCCCTCACGTGCCCCTCAGTCTTCTCCCCGTGCCCCTTGGTAGCCGCTACCGTTTTGCCTTGTTAAGACTTTCATGCGGATTTCAGCACGCTCAGGCTTTCATTTCTGACTTGAGTTCGCACCATGCTTCGAGTTCATCCGTGTTGCTGCGTGGCTCAGTAGGTTGCTCCACCTTTGTAACGCTCAGGTTTATTTGGATCTGTTCGCAGAGGCTGCCATAACAAAGTCCCATAGACAACGGAAATGCATTTTCCCATGGTCCCGGAGGTACAAGTCTGGGACGAAGGTGTCAGCAGAGTTGGTTTCTTGGAGGCCACCCTTCTTGGCTTGTAAACGGCTGTCTTTGCTCTGTGTCTTCACATAGTCTTTTTTTCACACGGCTCTGTGCCTGAATCTCCTCATGAGGACACCAGTGATATTGGCACAGGGCCCACCCTAATGCGTTTATTCTAATCTAATTACCTGCTTAAAGAGCCTGTGTCCAAAAACAGTCCAGTACTCGGGGCTCAGGACTTGCACATGTACATTGGGGGCGCTACACAATTCAGTCCATAACACCATCATGAAACTACTCTACAGTTAGTTTATCCTTGCACCAGCCAGTTGACATGTAGGTTGATTATATTGGTCGGTTTTTCGTTACTACACGTAAGAACCTTTATAAAGATTTGTTCGGCCTCGTGGTTCTAGAGGGTCATAGTCCGAGATCAGGCGGGCCCCACGGGTTCAGCTGATGGCCTTGGAGTCAGTCCCAAGGTGATGCAGATCATCGAAGAGTCAGAGTGCACAGCTGTCTGTGCCTGTGTCTCATGAGACTGCCCTACCGACTGACCCAACCCAATCACCTCCCAAAGGGCCCAGCTCTCAACTCCAGAACTGGAGCAAGTCTCACCCCCCTAGTGCCATTGACTTTCAACATGGGGGTTCAAACGTCCGTGTGCTCAGGAGTCCTGCTCTAAATGTTTGAGCACACTCAACCCGTGTTTTCCGTTCTCATCAGAAAACACTTAGGAGTAGAATTACTGAGTCATAACAGTTAGTATTTGTCAATTTTATTGATCTTTTCAAAGAATCATCTTTTGGCTTATTTGATTTTTTTTTTCGTTGCTTCTCGGCCTGCTGTTTCATTGATGTCTGGTCCTTGTTATTGTCTTCATTTATATTCTCTGGTTTCTTCAGGTTGAAACTCAGATATTGACACTGTTTTTCTTCTTTCACGTAGCATTCCGTGCTGTACATTCCTAAGTCCTGCGTTAGCTACATCCCACACATTTCATTATGTTGGAGCAGGGCGAGTGGGAGGTGTGAGGAAGGAGTAGAGGCTGGTCAGGCGAGAACACCTAGTGGCTTCTCCCTGCGGGCCCCCTGGGACCCAGAACTTGCCGATAACGTAATGGTTTTGAGTCTGGGTTTGAATCCTGTGGCCACAGTCAGCTTACAGTAGAGCTGCTGGGTTCTTTGTACTATTCTTTCATGTTTTCTAAGTTTGCAATTCTTGATCCCGCCCAGGACCTGTCACAGCAGCCGTAGGCAGGCCCTGGACAGGTGCCAGGGTACCTCAGCATCCATTCAGCCTAACTCTGCCAGCGCACAAAGCTGGGCCAGGGAGTGGGAGACGTGCCACTTCTCTGCACCCCACGCCTCCTGGGCCCGCAGTCCCATCCTGCTCAGTGTCGGCCATACAGCCTTCCTCCCTTGGGAGAAGTGCAGCTGAAGTGAACTCCCTTGGAACTGTGGCCACGGAACCACTCCTGACCTGAGCGAGTGAGCAGCTGTGTCATTTCAGGAATCGGTGACCTTCAAGGACGTGGCCGTGGACTTCACCCAGGAGGAGTGGAGTCAGTTGGATTCCCCTCAGCGAGCCCTGTACCGGGACGTGATGCTGGAGAACTACCAGAACCTTCTCGCCCTTGGTAAGATGCTCCCCCTAGGGCTGAGTGTCTGCTCTCGGCTTGCTCCCACCACCCTCTCAGCGTCAGCCCTGGTGCCAGACACAGCAGTGACTCTCCACCTTGGGCTTGCGCCTTGGCCGCTCCGGCAGCCCCCACAGCGCCATCTCGCTGGGAGCTGTGACTGGGGAACATAGGAGGACTGTTGGTCGGGAGGCAGATGGGGCTGAGAGGACTTGGGGCTCAGCCCACACAGAGATGTCCTCAGGTAATGAAGGCAGGGTGTCCCTGGGGTTTCAGAGTGTGTACTGTGATTAGGAGTCCACATCCGAGACACCCGGAGGGCTTCCTGTGTCCTGTCCGTAGTGCCCACTTCACAGTGTCTTGTCCCCATCCACAGGGCTGGTCCTGTGTGGGCAGCTCCTAGCCCTGCTGCTTTCTCCCCCTTGGTCAGGGCCCCCAGTCTGCAAGCCAGATGTGATCTCTCATCTGGAACGAGGCGAGGAGCCATGGCGTGTGCAGAGGGAAGTGCCTGGAGGAGCTTGTCCAGGTGAGCAGTGACCCAGGTGAAAGGGTGCCTGGCACCCCCTCCTTGCTTCCTCTGTGGGTGTCCAGGTTGTGGCTTCCACTTTCTGTCCATAGTCCCACTGCCCTGCCTCGCTCCCTCCCTCACGTACTGAACACTGTTTGTGTGCCAGCACCTGGTCTGGGAATACAGCAGTGACTAAGACCACCAAAAGGCCCGCCTTCTGCTGGGCAGAGGCAGGATATGTGAGGAACTGGGGCCAGGGCTTCTCTAACCAAGAAGAGGAGGCGGGAGAAGTGGGACAGGCCACACTGCTCAGGGTCAAAGTCAGGGTCAGTGAAGGCCACTTGGCAGAAACACTGGCTCTCCTAGAGTGAAGGGGGGGTGGTTATGGACGAGTCCTGAGCAGGGGTGAACATGGCCTATTTGTCTTCTTTGCTTGAGTTGGCTCTAACTAATGAATTTCAGTTCATTTAGTGGACGCTGGATGCTACGTGTGGGTGGTATCTGGAGAACTTGAGAAGCACCCATTCGGGGTGGGCGCTGTAGCGCAGCAGGTTAAGCCACCACTCAGGACGCCCACATCAGGGTGCTTGGCTCAAGTCCTGGCCACGCCACTTCCAGTGCAGCCTGCTGCTCATGCACCTGGGAGGCCGCGGATGGCGACTCAAGTACCTGAGTCCCTCTCACCCACTGGCTTCGGGCTTTGCAGCCATTTGGGGGGTGAATCAACAGATGGAAGATCTCTTTGTCTCTCTGTCTCCCCCACTCTCATTCAGCCTTTCAAATAAAAAAATAAATCCTTCAAAAGTAATGAGAAACACATTTCTACTTTTTTTAATAAGTCACAGAGAGAGAGAGAGACCGACCTTCCTGTGCTGGTTCAACTCCCCAAAATGCCCTCAATCAGCCATGGCTGGGCCACGCCAAAGCCAGGAGCCAGGAACTCCCCCCGCATGGATGGCACAGACCCAGCAACAGTGAGCCATCACCTCCTGCCTTCCAGAGCCAGGACATGAACCCGTGCGTTCTGATTGGGATGTAGGTATCCCGAGAGGCGGCTCAGCCACTAAGGCGAACACCTGCCCCAGAAACACACCTTTGTGTGGGAAAGGCAGGCCAGCGAGCAGGTGAACGTAGAGCCAGGATCAGTGCTGCAGGCCTGCCGTGCTGGGCGGGCGGGGAAGAGGCAGACCCCTCCTTCCCCTTCCTCTGCTCCCTTCCCTCCCTCTTCCGCATCCCCGGCCCAGGAACCTGCAGTGGCGGCCACAGCCGCAACTTCCTGCGCTAGCTCCCACTGCCCCCTCCATCCTCTTCCCCACAACTACCCTTTTTCAAATAACATTTTGTGTTTGACTAATACATGTTTATATTTAAAAAAAAAAAAAAACTGGGATAACACAGGAAGTCTCAAGATCACCCTTAATCTCCCCACCCAAGAGGCAGGGAGACTCAAATCTGAATTCCAGAGCCCCGCTCACAGAGAATTCCACGTTCCGTTCCCTACAGAAGGGGCGCCTCGGCCTGAGGTGGAGGAGGCAGAACCCCCTCAGCGGCGGGCTGCTTGCCAAGGAGAGGCGTTCCAGGAGCCGATCATGCAGCCAGCGAGGCCCAGCCTCCACGGTGCCAGTCCGGGGGAGACATGGGCCTGGGCAGACCCAGCAGATGCTGTGTGGGGAAGCAAGGCTGTGTTATGGAAGCACACACCTACCGCCGGTGAGGACGTCTCCCCCGAGGAGCACCGTCGGGGCCAGGACACGTCGAAGGAGGGCTCCCCCCTCGGGTGCACCGTCCCCGCCGAGCCGAGCAACCCCACACGGGGACGGTGTCCTGACACACACCTCAGGGATGTCGCATCCGCTGAGGGCGTCACCAAGGCCCCCGGGAGAACGCACGCAGGGGAAGGCTCGCGGAAGTCAAGTGAGCAGGGCCAATCCCCACAGGCGTGCAGGCAGCGCGGCTTCCTGGTGTGCGGCGAGTGCGGGAAGGCGTTCCCCCAGAGCGCGTCGCTCACGCTGCACCGGCGCTGGCACAGCCGGGAGAAGGCGTACAAGTGCCGCGAGTGCGGCAAGGCCTTCCCCTGGAGCACCAACCTCGTGGAGCACCAGCGGATCCACAGCGGCAAGAAGCCCTTTGTCTGCAGGGAGTGCGGCAAGGCCTTCAGCTGCCACTCGTCGCTCAACGTGCACCAGCGGGTGCACACGGGCGAGCGGCCCTACAAGTGCAGTGCCTGCGAGAAGGCCTTCAGCTGCAGCTCCCTGCTCAGCATGCACCTGCGCGTGCACACCGGCGAGAAGCCCTACAAGTGCGGCGAGTGCGGCAAGGCCTTCAACCAGCGCACGCACCTGACCCGGCACCACCGGATCCACACCGGCGAGAAGCCCTACAAGTGCGACCAGTGCGGCAAGGCCTTCACCTGCCACTCCTCCCTCACCGTGCACGAGAAGATCCACAGCGGAGACAAGCCGTTCAAGTGCAGCGAGTGCGAGAAGGCCTTCAACCACCGGTCCCGCCTCACCCTCCACCAGCGGATCCACACGGGCGAGAAGCCATTCAAGTGCACAGACTGCGGGAAGGGCTTCAGCTGCCACTCGTACCTGCTCGTGCACCAGCGGGTCCACAGCGGCGAGAGGCCGTTCAAGTGCAACGAGTGCGGCAAGGCCTTCAGCTCCCACTCGTACCTCATCGTGCACCAGCGGGTCCACACCGGCGAGAAGCCCTTCGACTGCAGCCAGTGCTGGAAGGCCTTCAGCTGCCACTCGTCGCTCATCGTGCACCAGCGGGTCCATACCGGCGAGAAGCCCTACAAGTGTCGCGAGTGCGGCAAGGCCTTCAGCCAGAACCACTGTCTCATGAAGCACCAGAAGGTTCATTCCGGAGAGAAGTCTTTGAAGCGCAACGACTGTGGGCAGATGTTCAGCTGGAGCGCACGCCTCCTGGAGCACCGGAAACTGCACAGCGAGGAGAAGCCCTTTGCCCTCCAGCTCAACAAACACCTGCTGGGCACGTACTACGTGCCCGGCGGTCTGCTGGGGGCTGGGGACACGGAGGTGAGGGCCGTGGACCCAGTGAACGCCATGGATGTGGCAGAGCTCCTGTGTGCGGCCCCGCCCCCGCCCAGCAGGAATTGCCCCCTGGGGAGCAAGCCCGGACACTGACAGGAGGTCTGGGGAGCCACTTCCTGGGCTGCCCAGGAGACGGCACAGTCACTCCTCATGGGCTCCTGGATCCAGGCTGCTCCTCCTTCCAGCCCATGCAAGCCTGGCCCAAAGCTCAGAGCACTTCCACCCACTGGGAAGGGGTGAGAGTGGAGAGCCTTTTGAGGATGTCCATTGTCTGTTCCCCGGATGAGCGTGGAGGTCACCGACCGGGGAAGGGAAGTGGTTCCCGCAGATAAAAAGGGCCTTTGTGTCCTCAGACGGGCTCCTGGAGTGCCTTCCCTCTGTAACCCGCTGTGCGACAACAGAAATAAAACACCAGAGTTGCAAGCAGTATTGCCTCCAAGTGAGCGCTCTTACTTCCTGGACTGGCTTCCTGCAGCAGACACGTCTGTCAGAGACTGCAGCAGTCACGGCAAAGCACCAAGGTAGCCACATCCTTACACCTTGCCATGCAGTCCCTGGTGGGGAATTGGGAGCACCCTAGCAGGTACCCAGTACATACAGGGAAGATGGGCATAGCATCAAAGCAGATGTTTCTAGAAGCTTGCCTTCGCTGACCAGTGCTGGCGAGGCTGCCCTGTAAGGATCTCTCTTTACCATTTAGCTTGTGTCCAAGAGGAGGCCCCTCCATACTGCCCACTGGGAAGGGAAGCCATAGCCCCACAGAGGTGATGCAGGTATCCCATATTGGAGCGCCAGTTCGAGTCCCAGCTGCTCCACTTCTGGTCCACCTCCCTGCTAATGTGCCGGGAAAGGCAGCAGAAGATGGCCCAAGTTCTTGGGCCCCTGCCACCCATGTGGGAGGCCCAGTTGGGGTTCCCTGACTCCTGGCTCCTGGCTTCGGCCTGGGCTAGCCCCAGGTGTTGCAGCCATTTGGGGGAGTGAACCAGCAGATGAAAGATATCCCCCTCCTCTCAAATAAATAAATCTTAAAAAAGGAAAGAGTGACAGGCGAGCCCCTGGAGTTGGCCTTTCAGAACATCCCAGGAACGCCTGTCCCACGGCCTCCTCAAACAAGCTGCCAGCAAGGAGCCTGAGCCCTGTCTTTGGACTTACAGTGCATGAAGCTGAGCATTTCAAGCAGAAGAGGCCCTCCCGCTGCCCCTGTCCACTGCCTGCAGTGCCCCAGCCTTTGCAGACGCCTAGGGAGGCAGATTCTGTAGGGAACTCTGCCTTCCCATCGTCTCCCTCGTCACAATAAAGCTCCTCGGAGCGACTTGGGCTGGAGGCGATTTGGCGACAGTGGGAACACGTGGAGCCCCTGTGTCCGTCAGCCATACTGTGATACTGAAGGGGCGTGTCTGTCCTGACGGGCTCTGAGCCCCTGTGGACACGGTGGTGCTAGGAGGAAGTGGTGCCCTAACATGGACAATATATGAATCTGGGACTCCCAGCAGGACACCCCAGTCCCTCCACACACACAAACACCCCGACTCTTGTAGTGCAGAGAGAGACAAAAGCAGACATCTGGTGATGTGACTCAGCCAGAATTGCAAGGTGCACTAAAACAAGTGAGTCTAGACCATGAGAAAAAAAAAAAGAGTGGCTCTGATTTCATTCAAACACTGCCAACGTGCACGAATTGTGACCCTCATGTCTCTAACGGATGGGATTAATCATCTGTGAGAGCCACCAGGACTACGGGGGGACGGACAGGCACTGTTCACCCACCCTGGCGTTCACAGCCACAACCTCCGGCCTTGCCCTTGCTGCATTGGGGGCTTGTGGCTTGGAAAATGGCCCGCCCTACTGCTGTAGACAGTCATGCCGGGGCCTCCCTGAATGGATAGTTTTGTTTTGCTTTGTTTTGTTTTGTTTTATTGAAAGGCAGAGAGACAGGGATCTTCCATCCTGGCCTTGGCCAAGCAGGAGCCAGGAACTCCATCGAGGTCTCCCACATGGGCAGCAGGGACCCAAGTAGTTGAGCCATCATCTGCTGCCTCCCAGAGTGCACATGAGTAAGAAACTGGATCAGACAGGTGGAGCGCTAACCCAGGCACTCATGGGATGCTGGTGTCCCGAGTGGCGGCTTAAGCTGCTGGGTCGCAACACTCACATCTGGCATGGTTCAGTGAGTAGATGACTCTGCTGAGCATAACAAGGACTGAAAGTCCTAATCGGCCTTAATTGGCCCTGTGCATGCACTTTGCTATTTGTGAGTGTGTAAATCTTTATGTGTGAAAATATGTAGGGGCTGGCGCTGTGGCGCAGTGAGTTAGCTGCTGCCTACAGTATCAGCATCCATATGAACACCAGTTCGAATCCCGGCTGCTCCACTTCCGATCCAGCTCCCTGCTAACATTCCCGGGAAAGCAGCAGAGGATGGCCCAGGTGCTTGGGCCCCTGCCACCCACGTGGGAGACCCGAAGGAAGCTCCTAGCTTTGACCTGGCCCAGCCCTAGCCATTGTGGCTATGTGGAGAATGAAAGATCTCTCTCTCTCTCTCTCTCTCTCTCTCTCTTTCTCTCTCTCTCTCTCTCTCTCTCATCTCTCTCTCTCTCTCATCTCTCCCTTTCTCTGTAACTCTGCCTTTCAAATAAAATAAATCTTTTCAGAAAATGCAAGCCAGCCTGCCAACTCCCACTCTGAATCCATGGCTTAGAGTTTGAGGTACAGATGGAAAAGTCAGAAGCATAAGGAAGGAAAGAGGGAACAACCCCAGATGCCCTCCGGAGAAAGGGTTCTTGACACAAGAGGCCTGTAGCATTTCTCGGAGGAGAGACCACAAATCCCAAGGCTGCATAGCATCCTTTGTCAAGTGACTATGCTTCTTTTTTTTTTTTTTTTTTTACAGGCAGAGTGGACAGAGAGAGAGAGAGAGAAAGGTCTTCCTTTGCCGTTGGTTCACCCTCCAATGGCCACCGCAGCCAGTGTGCTGCGGCCGGCGCACCGCGCTGATCCGAAGGCAGGAGCCAGGTGTTTCTCCTGGTCTCCCATGTGGGTGCAGGGCCCAAGCACTTGGGCCATCCTCCACTGCACTCCCGGGCCACAGCAGAGAGCTGGCCTGGAAGAGGGGCAACAGGGACAGAATCCGGCGCCCTGTCCGGGACTAGAACCCGGTGTGCGGCGCCGCAAGGCAGAGGATTAGCCTAGTGAGCCGCAGCACCGGCCATGACTATGCTTTTATTTGAGAGCTCCTGTTAACTGATTGACTTCCTAAATGGCCACAGTGGTCAGGATGGGGCCAGGACCAAAGCTGGGGGCTGGGGGCTGGGAACTCAGTCCCGGTTTCTGACGGACGTGGCAGGGACCTGATCACTTGAGCTATTGTCTGCCGCCACCCAGGGTGTGCATTAGCAGGAAGATGGAATCAGAAGTGGAGCTGGGGATGCCAGTGCTTGTGCTAAAGCGGGTAAAGTCACCGCCTGTAGCAACAGCATCCCATATGGACGCCAGTTCAAGTCCCGGCTGCTCCACTTCCAACCCAGCTCTCTGCTATGGCCTGGGAAAGCAGTAGAAGATGGCCCAAGTCCTTGGGTCCCTGCACCCACGTGGGAGACCCAGAGGAAGCTCCTGGCTCCTGGATTCGCATCGGCGCAGCTCAGGCTGTTGTGGTCACTTGGGGAGTAAATCAGCAGATGGAAGACCTCTCCCTCCCTCTCTCTCTCTCTCTCTCTCTCTCTCTCTCTGCCTCTGCCTCTTTGTAACTCAGCCTTTCAAATAAATAAATAAATCTTTAGAAATAAATAAAGTAAAAAGAGAAGTGGAGCTGAGACTCAGACCCAGGCACTCTTATATGTATGGGATGTTGGCTTCCCCAGTGGGTGCTTAACCACTAGGCCAAAATACCAGCCCCTTACCTTTTTTTAAGATTCATTTATTTGAAAGGGAGAGTAAAAGTGAGAGGGAGAAATAGACAAAGAAAGAGATCTTCCACCCACTAGTTCACTCCCCACATGGCCGCAGTGGTCAGGGCTGGGCCAAGCTAAATCCAGAGGCCTGGAACTCCATCGAGGTCTCCCGTGTAGGTAGCAGGGGCCCAAAACTCCCACCACCTCCCACTGCTGTCCAAGGCACATTAGCAGGAAGCTGGATTTGAAGTGGAACAGCTGGGACTTGAACCAGCACTCGTGGGATGCCGGCGCTCCGGGCTGCAGCTTAACCCACTGCCCCGTTAAGCGCTCTGGGCACCTCATGACGCGGAATCGCACGGCATTTTTGTGTGTGGCTTTATCCACTGAGGGCAGCGCCGCCAGGGCATGTCCACACCGCAGCCTGGGTGAGAACACCCGTCCCTGTTTCTGGCTGATCGCATTTCCCTCTGAGGGGACACAGCAGGAGACCAAGTCCACGTCCACACAGAGCTTAGTGGAGGCGGGACAGTAGCCCCGTGTGAGGCTCAGGGCCCTGACCTCAGTCACATTCTCAGACATCAGGGTGGGCGCGCGCTGTGAACAGTTACGACACCCCTTGGGAGCCCGCATTCCATATTGGAGGTGCCTGGGTGCGAGCCGCAGCTCCCAATGGACACAGGGAGGCAGTGGTGGTGCCTCAAGTACTTGGGTCTCTTCCATCCACTTGGGAGACCTGGATTGAACGCCAGCCTCTTCAGGACGTTGCCACTGCCAACCACTAGATGGCACCATGACTCCACGTGCTCTGTGCCTGGAGCGGTAATTGACAGAAACCACTGGCTGCCCTCATCCCAAGGGAGTCAGTCGCAGCACAGGGGAGGGAGGCAGCCGTGTATGTGGAACGAAGTTGTTGAGTCTCTGGGATGAAGACCCCATGCCTCGCCTCTCAGAATGCATGGCAGACCCCTAATAAAAAGCCGCCAGGGGCCGGTGCTGTGGCACAGTGGGTGAAGCCGCCAGCTGCAGTGCTGGCATCCCATATGGGTGCCGGTTCGAGTCCTGGCTGCTCCACTTCTGATCCAGCTGATTGCTATGTCCAGGGGAAGCAGTAGAAGATGGGCCAAGTTCTTGGGCCCCTGCACCCATGTGGGAGACCCAGAAGAAGCTCCTGGCTCCTGGCTTCAGATCAGCTCAGCTCTGGCCGTTGCAGCCAACTGGGGAGTGAACCAACAAATGGAAGACCTCTCTCTCTCTCTGCCTCTGCCTCTCTGTAACTCTGCAGTTAAAATAAATCAATCTTTAAAAAAATAAATAAAAAATAAAAAGCCACCAGAAAACCTCTTGCAAGCATGCAGGCAGCAGGTGCCCCTGGGAGCTGCTGTAGGCCCCACACGAGCCCCACCCCCCACCTTGGGTGCCCATGGGATCCAGCTGCAGCATGCGTTTCCACTACTCCACAAACAATGGATGTCTCAAGGTCCCAAAGTTGTTGCAAACCCTGGGACCTCACCCTGACCAGCCTTGTGACACCAACAG